TACTAATACTATTACTAATACTATTATTAATCCTAATATTAATACTAATACTAATACTAATATTAATACTATTTCTAATACTAATATGTTAATATTGTTAATGATAATGCTAATGTACATATTCTAATGCTAATACTAATTTTAATGTTAATGTTAATCAGGATATGTCGCTTATGCTGATTATAATTGTAATACTAATATAATCCAAATTCTTATCTTATTCCTAATCCTATTCATAATACTAATCATGATTCTAATCCTAAACCTATTTCTAACATTAATTATAATCCTAATAATTTTACTACTAATAATACTTATGCTATGCTAATGTTAATTCTAACTATAATTCTAACCATATTAATCCTAATTTTAATGCTAATCATAACCATAAAACTAATACATGTCACTAATTGTAGTACAAATCAATAATCATAATCTTAATTATAATTCTAATAATAATATTAATCATAATCCTAATATTAATTATAATACTATATTAATCCGAATCCTAATCCTAGTATTAATACTAATACTAATTCAAAGAATATTAATTATAATCCTAATTCTAATGCTAATACTAATCACAATCCTAATTATAATTTTGCATCAATGTTTTTGCAATTATCTATTATTTTGTATCAAAAAAAAATTCTATTCAATCTCGCAACTTTTATATCAAATTCCTTATGTGTGGTACCTGAAACATCAAGAAAAACATATTAAATATATTAGAAATTAATATTTAATTATATTATCAAACTGACATTAATATTATTTAAAATAATATAAGGGTTTAAGCAAACGTTAAGACGTAATAACGATAATCGTTGTTAATAGGATAAATTACGAAAATCCTCATGAACTAAGGCTAAATTACGGAAATCAACCCCACCTATCGGTAATTACCAAAATCCCCCAGATGTTTGTTTATGTCTTACACGACCCCCTTATAGTGTGATTTTTTACGGAATCTTTTTTATTCCACGTAATATCCCAAAAATTGTGGATTCTACCCTTGATGACATGACATTTCTTTTATCTTACTTTTTAAATACAAAAATTACCCTTAGGGGAGGTATAGTAATACTAAAAAGTTGTGAAAAAGTTATTTAAGAAAAATAAATATTACGTGTAAAGTCCCCCTCAGGGTAATTTTTGTCTTTAAAAAGTACCATAAACAAATGTCGCGTGCATGATAGAATCTGCATTTTTGGGGGAATATTCCATGTAATAAAAAAAAATTCGTGAAAAATCATACCGTAAGATGAAAACAAACTTCAGGGAGATTTTGGTAATTACGAATATAATATTAATTAGTAAAAAAGATAAATGTATAATATCAAATGATTTATTCTGCAATATTTTTTTTATATAAATCCAAGTTTATGAATTAAAATACAAAATTTTCGTAACACCGTCAATCATACAATTATAATAAGTGAAGCTTTTAAATAGAATTTAATTAAATTTAAATTAAATTAATTACTATTAAAATTAAATTAAAAAATAGAAACTATTTAGAGTTTCCAAGAAAGTTGTTATATTCAGTGCATTTTATAAATGGTATGATATAAATATATAATAAAATAATTAAATATCTTTTTAATTTGGAAAATGGTGACATGTTTTTTGATGATTTATTTTCACCAATCAATTTGCCACGTGGGATGAAATTGAATACATGTCACCAATTGAAATTGACAAATGTCAATCAATTAGGTGTGAAATTCAACTTTTATATATTATATAGATTATATTATCAAACTGACATTAAAATTATTTAAAATAATATAAGGGTATAAGCAAACGTTAAGACGTGAAAATAACGATAATCGTTGTTAATAGGATAAATTACGAAAATCCTCATGAACTTAGGCTAAATTACGGAAATCACCCCCACTTATCGGTAATTACCATAATCCCCCAGATGCTTGTTTATGTCTTACACGACCCCCTTATGGTGTGATTTTCTACGGAATCTTTTTTATTCCACGTAATATCCCAAAAATTGGGGATTCTACCCTTGCAAACATGACATTTCTTTTATCTTACTTTTTAAATGCAAAAATTACCCTTAGGGGAGGTAATAGTAATACTAAAAAGTCGTGAAAATGTTATTTAAGAAGAATAAATATTTCGTGTAAAATCCCCCTTAGGGTAATTTTTGTCTTTAAAAAGTACCATAAACAAATTTCGTGTGCATGGTAGAATCTGCATTTTTCGGGGAATATTCCACGTAATAAAAAAAATCCGTGAAAATCATACCGTAAGGGGGTCGATGTAAGACGAAAACAAACATCAGGGAGATTTTGGTAATTACGAATATAATATTAAATTAGTAAAAAAGATAAACATATTCTCTGGTCATGTTCATGTAAAATGTATAATATCAAATGATTTATTCTGCAATATTTTTTTTATATAAATCCAAGTTTATGAATTAAAATACAAAATTTTCGTTTCACCGTCAATCATACAATTATAATAAGTGAAGCTTTTAAATAGAATTAAAATAAATTTAAATTAAATTAATTACTATTAAAATTAAATTAAAACATAGAAACTATTTAGAGTTTCCAAGAAAGTTGATATATTTAGTGCATTTTATAAATGGTATGATATAAATATATAATAAAATAATTAAATATCTTTTTAATTTGGAAAATGGTGACATGTTTTTTGATGATTTATTTTCACCAATCAATTTGCCACGTGGGATGAAATTGAATACATGTCACCAATTGAAATTGACAAATGTCAATCAATTAGGTGTGAAATTCAACTTTTATATATTATATAGATTATATTATCAAACTGACATTAAAATTATTTAAAATAATATAAAGCTATAAGCAAACGTTAAGACGTGGGTATAAATAATTTTCTACAAAAATCCGGGTCGTCTAGTCGACCGCCTAATTCACCTTTCCTTCAGAACCGACTCTGAACACATGGAATGAGTAAACCTTTCTTTACGTATTTGTGCAAAAGGCAAGGTGGGATAAGCAAAAAGATAATGAAGAAAATATGGGATGGGCAAAAGGGAAGCAACAATACACGTGGGCTATGATGATACCAACTTCTTTTGTAATGAAAGCTAACTTTGGAAACACACAAGAACACTCCAAATGAGAAAGATTCCCTTACAAAGTAGAAAGCTAGTAAACTAAGAGAACATTATATTTGGCTAAATTTGTATTAAACATGCTAAATTTATATTAAACAGTTGATCAGTTCTTATGTCAGATAAGATGTTTTAAAAGCTGACAAACTATTACGTCTTATTTTTTAGAGTAAATTACAATCACCCTTGAGGTATAATTAAATTACAAAAACCGCCATCTTGTTTGGGTAGTTACAACCACCCCTCAACTATAAATCTTCTTATACGTCCACTGTTGCGGTTTCAAATTTAGTGATTATATGGAATATTATCACTTTTGTACCCATTTTATCCCATTCGAATTCCACATTTTGAAGCAAGATGATCATAATATGTGTTTTTTGGCTTGTATATATCAGATTGTGGTGCATCAAAAACTGTATTTTTACACAAAATAAGTACAAACTAGAGCACATTCCACGAAATCTATATATAGATGATTATGTTGATTTGACACCATAAGGGTGGAGATGTAAGAAAAAATCATAGTTGAAGGGGATAGATGTAATTATCCAAACAAGAGGGGTTTTTTCGTAAATTGACCATACCTCAGGGGTGGTTGTAATTGACCCTATTTTTAAAGTATTTGAATAATAAGTTTGTAAGTTTAATAAAAAGATGGGTAGATGTACTTTAAAAAAGTAATTTTAAAAAACTCTCCAATAGATTATTTTTTGAATTTTATAAGATGTTTTTGAAAAAAAATACTATAAGCAGTTTAAAAGAGCTTATATTATAAGTTATTTAAAAGTGTTTGGTAAATGTTTTGAAAATATTATAAATTTTAGAAATAAGCTATCAAGGAGCTTTAACGGTCTTATTTGAAAAGTACCTACATCTCACTTTTTTTATTTAAGTTCTTATAATGAATAGAAATAACTTATAAATTCATTATCTGAACACTTAAAAAATGCATAGCAGTTTATCAATTATTAAAACAACTTATCGGATGTAAGAACTTACGAGATGTTTAAAATAACTTTGACCACACACTCTCCACGAGTCTTGTTTTTATCTATGTAACGATCTTACTTAATAAAGTTTATCTATTTTAGTCATTTATGATAATCTGCATTTAAGTGGTTAATACTTTTAATTTAAATATTTAAATTGCATGAGTATAATATTTTGATATTATTCGAAATGATATTCATCTAGATATAACTAGTTTTCTAAAAATCGTCGAGTAATCAGTCTCCGAGACGGAGGCGGTCCCAAACCTTTAAGATTTTAGTGTAAATGTTTGGAAAATCGTTTTTTTGCCTGTGAGGCGGTTTTAGTCGGTCAAACCTTTAGGCATGTCAAACTCGGTGGCAAAATCGACCAAATATCGGTCAAAATCGTTTTTTTTTAATATATAATTCAAAATAATAGTTGAGATTTTAATAAAAAAAAAGTGAGTGTATGGTTTATTTTATTTATGTTAACTGATATTGTTAAAGAACTAATAATGTGTGTCAGGTGTGTTCAAGAATAAATGTAAATTCAAAAAAAATTGCCTTTTTGTTTATATTTTATAAGGATATTTATGTATAATGATCTTATTATTATTAAACTTTTATTATGTTATTAGGATATATAAATGATAGAGATATAACTATGTTTAAATATTTTTTTATATATGTTTTGAGTATTTATAAATAATATCGAGATATATATTATATTAAATTTTAAAAATCAATTTATTTTCAATTTATCACCGTTTAATCACCGCCGCACTGATTAATCGTGAGTCGGTGCCTGACCGCCTCCAACCCTATTACCGCTTTTTACAACCTTGGATATATAACACAAAGAAATCATTTCGAACGTTCGTTTAGAATATGAAGTTAAATCTTTCACATTAAGATGAAACTGGAATAACCACATTTGATTGAAAAAATGAATTAAGCAATTGCCCCATTTTTCGCAAGATGGTGAATGAACTATTTTGATTTAGTCGGTTTCATCGACAGTTCGGTAATATACAACAAAAAAGCTCGAATTCTTCGATGTAAAAAAAAAAAACAACTATGATTTTGTGTACATGGCTGTTATTTACCTTCGAGGAATTAATGTCCGTTCATCGCTATCATCATAATCGAGAGGCATTTCAGTGATAGTTCTATCATCAATGTTAAGTTCTTCAATTTCAGACGATCGAATCCGAAGATCGATTCCTCTAGAATCCAACATGTCCGATTTTATGAGCTGCATTTCCGATTCTACAATGGCTTCAATTCGAGCACGATGTCGATCTCTCGGATAGGTAAAGTAGAGGAAAGAGTAAATGACGCAGCATAAAGCCATAGGTACGGCTATTGCTGCAAAAAGAGCCTTTGCCAATGATTTGGCGTTCTCTCTGTCTGTAGAGATATCTTCGGAACCTTCCGGAACTGGCTTATATCCGTACACGTATTGAGCCAGTAATCCAACGGTAGGTGGAGCGAATGAGGATAACACGGATTCGAATGACCTGTCCAAAGCGTAGATACTCGTTCGGGATTTCTCCGGGACTATCTCTGCAAATATCGGACTGGTCTAAGACGAATTCATTAAGATATTCAACATAAGTATTGAAAAGGTTAACAAACATAATTTCGTAGTTGGAGAAATTTGGAAACAGGGCCAAATAAAGCCTGGACGTAGTCATCCAAAAATGGGAAAAATAAAAAATTTCATCCCTCAAGTTTGCACCGATTTCACATTTGGTCCCCCATGTTCGTAAAAAACACATTTGGTCCCTCATCTTTCAAAAATTCACCAATTTTAGTCATTTCAGTTAATTTACCTGGTAGTAATAACGGAATCAAGCATGTGTCCAACGCTGTCTTAACTGACGGACTAATGATAAATTGACGGAAATGACCAAAAGTGTTGAATTACTGAAACATGAGGGACCAATGTGTTTCTCGTGAAACATGGGGGACCAAATGTGAAATTAGTGCAAACTCGTGGGATGAAAATTGTAATTTTCCCTCAACAAATGAAGTGCACAGTTTACTATACACTACTAACACATATATTACGATCATAGTAAAAAAATCACTATCCCGAAACTAATGTAACTGAAAAACCAATGAAGGAAAGAAAATCGAGAAAAGGGAAGTAACTGATAAAGTCAAAAGTCTTACTTGTTTGTGGCTGCAGCGTTCCAAGAAATGCAGAAACCCGTAACGAAAAGGACCAAACCATGCAAGAACAAAGCAGACGGATCGTTCGGCACAAAAAGCAAAAGAAGTGCAGAAAGAGGTATAGCCGAACCCGAACTTATCTGCGACAAAATTATACGACCCGAATTCGGAAAACGCTCCGACAAAAAATCACCCATCACACCTCCAAACAAACCGCCAAGAGAGTTTGCAACCACAAAAGTACCTATAAGGACAGCTGTCATCTCGTGAGAGAAACCAATCAGCTCAAGCCACATAGGCGCAAAGGACAAAGCAGACCAAGGAAAAGAACCCGTAACACCCTGAGCTACGATTATCTGAAAAGAAGGGATCTTAATTACGGATTTAGCCTCTCGAAGAAGATCCTTCACGTCGGATTTGAAGGACCTTCTAGAAGAAACTCTGTTGTTACTACTTTCGGTATTTGAAAAGTGGGGGTCGGTGGCGAATAAGCGAACTAGTACACCTACAGCGACACTGATTAGGGCAACGAGATGAAAGGCGATTCTCCAGCCGGAGATTCCCATCAAAGTGAGGGGTGCGATTAGTAAAGATAATAATCCGCCGATAATTGAACCGATGTTGCTAGTGACCTGGAGCCAACCGAAAGCGGTACCGCGTTTGCTGTCTTCGGTCGAGTCTGCTACAAGCGACTGAATTGCAGGCGCAACTATCGCCAGCCCTATCCCATTCAAAGCTCTTGATAAAGCTACCTGGGTAAATAAATTTAAGATTGTTAAATTCTAGACGAGCATTTCGTCGTGACAACATTACGATCTTTTATTATGCATACTGGGATAACAATGTTATGGTGTTCTAGGAATTCTCGACAAGAACATGTGCCTTTATTAATTTCAGTTGATTTAGTTCTCAAAAGTGGACCCCGCATACATTACGAATATTAAGTCATTACCAGTGACGCTGATCAAACCCCCAAACCTACGAAATCGTACAGGATAAGTTCCGTTAATATAAATAAAAAACTTCAGACAAGACTCGACAGTTTCCTGCGCTCACATACTTCTACTCTACAGTGATGTTCAAACAAAATGCTTTCCCTTTCCACTCATCTCTACACCGAACAAAACAGCATAAAGATGACATAAATAAGTCTTATTTGCTCAAATAAACACAACTCTCAATTATATTGAAACGAGGTGCACTAATGTTTAGTTATTTATTTCATAATTTGTAACCTAGCCCGCCGATATTGGAAAATTCATCAAACAAGTTTCAGATTCCGCCTGCAGAAACGAAATCCTCACTTATGCACAGAACTTGGTGCAATGATTCTGCATCCATATATATTGCCAAATGCGTACTCTCATACAGTAGAACCTCGATAAATTAATAACCTCGCTTAAGTAATAATTTCTTCCGGTCCCGACTCGGTGTAAACACATACTAAATTATTAGTTCCACAATTTAATATTTCGCTAAATTAATAGAATTTTGCTAGTCCCGTCCGTCTGTATTAATTTATAGAGGTTCAATTGTAGTACAATTTGTGGTACAAATTTGCAAAATTACGTAGTGTGCAATTTATTTCAAGAAACCGGATAAGACTAAAACACTATGAACTTTATCTCACTCCTTTTCGAGAAACCAAATGAATTCAATTTTCCCAATAGAACCATAAACCCTAGCACAAACAATCAACAACAACACCACCACAAATTAACAATGAAAAGAATAAATTGAGGTACAATTGATTAAATCGAAAAGGTTAATCTGGAAAACCTGTAAGAAGGTGGAGGAGATGGCGACGAGGAAGGTGGCGGCAGACCAAAGGAAAGCACCATAAGCAATGACGTGGGCCCGATTGTGTCGGGCCGACAAGTAAGCGGCTAAAGGGTAGCAAAAAGCCTGCACCATCGACCGAAACAGGGTCAATGATCCAAGCCCGGTGGGCCCCGCGTGCAGTGCTTCGCCCACCTCTTTGTACACCCCTGGTAACAATGATTCGTCGGCTCTTTCCATTATTCCCGCCAGATTTACCAGCACGAGCGTCAATGTTTCTGCTCTCATTCTTATTCTGATTCTCTTATTGCGTTTTTTTTTGGGTTTCTCTCTCTCTCTCTCTCTCTCTCTCTCTCTCTCTCTATCTTCACATGATTGTAAGGAAGTTTGTTTCTTTTTCCGAGGGCACGGCGGTGGACGGCGGAGCGGTTGTGGACGGAGGAGGTGGTGGTGAAGGAAATGGAAATGCGGTGATGTAGTCAACAGTCAAATGAGCGAGTGATGAAATTGAAAGCATGAATTGATCATAGAGCTTCGGAATATTCCAAGAGCACAAAATATAGGGTAAATTACAACCACCCCTTGAGGTATGGTCAAATTACGAAAATTCTCCTCTTTCTTGGATAATTACAATCACTCCATCAACTCCTCTAATTTTGTAGAATCTTCGAGATTATATGGAATATTATCCACATTTGTACCCGTTTTATCCCATTCGAACTCTACATTTTGAAGCAAGATGAACATAATATGTGTTTTTTGGCATGTATTTATCAGATTGTGATGCATCAGAAACTCTATTTTTACACAAAACGAGTATAAACTACAACACATTCCACGAAATCTAGATGATTATGTTGAATTTGACACCATAAGGGTGGAGGTGCAAGAAAAAATCATAGTTGAGGGATAGATGTAATTATCCAAATAAGTGGGATTTTTTTGTAAATTGACCATACCGCAGGGGTTTTTTTGTAATTTACCCAAATAAAAAATGTAAAATGGGTAAATCAGAGCTTTTCCATGGGGATTTCTGCCTCATTCTCACACTTGAAATGGTCTCTGGAAGTGTGATTTCAACTGGCCGGCCTCTCCCAAGGCAATTTCATTATTTTTAGCGGCTATTTGAGATAACTCCTTCTTCAATTTTGTGAGACGGATAAATGCCAATGTTTTGAAAACCGGACCGGACCGGCCGGTCCGACCGGTTTAACCGCGAACCGCCGCCAGGTCCGGTCTGGTTAATAGTGAAAACCCAAAATCGCCAAAAAACCGGGTCAACCACCAAAACCCGGGTTCGACCGGTAAGAACCGGAAAACCCGGAAACCGGTCCAAGAACCGGGTTTTGGCTATATAAAAATTTCATGGCCGGATCTGCATCTATAATGGTCGTGGGTGACTGGACCTTACCGGAAACGGCTGTGGGTGAACGGATCTAATCGGATTTGGGGCATATGTGACTGAAAAAAATAAAGGAGGAGGTGAACATGAAAATAAAGAAAAATATGAAAGAAGAAAAAAGGGTGGATAAAAATCTCTGTTGTGTGGAAAATGAGAGAAGAAAGAACAAATAGAGGGAGAAGAAGGAAGGGAAGAAGAGGAGGGCATATCAGTTTGGACATGAGAGACCTGCGTGAAGAGACCTGCTTGTGGCATACTGAAATTGGAGTTGTTATTTTTCATTAGTATCTATATCTCGTAATCCTTGTTTTTTTAATGTAATAATTATTTCTCATTATCTAATTTGCTATTTACATAATAAATATAAAATATTAACAAGCGATTCAAGGTTTTAAGGTGGCAAAAAACGTGCTTGTAAAATCGACGGCCCAACCCAATGGCAAATCTATGTAGTTCCGGATGTTCAGATCTCAACATGCCATGAGTTCGAAACCAGGTGATGCTCTGATTCAAATTTAGTTCTCTATTAAGATGAAAAAGGACAACAAAGCCCTTAGTCGTGTGGGGTTTCGCTTCGCGCGACTCATTTTGATTCATTATCCCTTTCAGTTTTTTTTTTTATTTTTATATTTTTTATCATACTATACTACTGGACTGGAATGCAAAATAGGATGGACCAAAACGTGAGATTTTCTTCACAACTCTTTCCTCTTTACAGTTAATAAAATATGTGTAAACCCACAGTAATCTTTAAAGATGAAATCACTTGTAGGAACTGCTGCACACACACACACACACACACACATGTAAGCAAGAAATTTACTTTCCACAGTTAAAACCCGGATTAGTTTTTACATCTAATAGTCAAATTCCTTGTATGCTGAAATAAATGTACCACAGAAAACACTGTTTTCACATAATTACTGGTTGATTTTGATGACTGGCTAAGAAAATCTAAACACAGTCTCTATCTTGTTTGACTACTCCGAGCACAGAAGGATTGCATGATTGACGCACATCTGCTCCAATGAAAGAAAGATATGTATATGAAGCTAGCAATTCTTCAGCTAGCCGTGTCCAGAGTTTGTGCTTTAATATGTTCAAAAGAATATACAAGTAACATATTACAGTATTCATTGTTAAGAAAACAAGTGATGTAAATTTGTGCCCACAAATGCTTACGGATGAAATAGAGATGAAAAAGATTGCAGAAAAGTTGGAAACTCAGTGACGCCTGAGGCTGAGCAGCTCAATATCGAAGATGATTATCCCTAAGGTTGAGCCTTCTCCATTGGCTAGACGTGTTGGATTGAATATTGTAGTGAATAGCCTCTGTCTGTCAAAAAACTGCAAACCAACCAAAGATCAACTAGTTATTATCTCGTCGCCCAATAAATAGACCTAAGATAACTCAGTAATCTCAATTCTCAAATTTCGGCTTAGGTAGTTTTCATGGAACTTAGAAACCTTCAACAAACTTCCTCCTAATTTACATATTTTACAATAACTCCTCACATTATGTACTTACTTCCGATTCCCATGTTTCATTCGAGTTTCTCAAAATTTAAACATTTGCTCTATAGTAGTAGTAGTAGTAGTTTATGTAAAATATGCGGGCATCCGACATTATTTCATTTCTCACATTCGTAGATTAGCAGTAATTGAATTTAACTGCTGGAAATGGTATATGGCATAAAAAATTTAACATCCTCAAGCAAATACAAAGTTACTCAAGAGAAAATTACATACATTAGGTGGGATGGGTTCCTGAGATGTATTTTGATATCCTTCAGATCGAGGGATAACAACTCTGCGAATGCCACCTACTTTCATTGATCTCACAGCTGATTCAATTCCAGATATGACCTAATTTATTACATGTACATATAAGTTTGTATGAATGCAGAATAACAGCCTACCTTCAGAACATAGATACATAAAACTGAAAAAACATGTATATCTTTCTCAGCGTTGCTCAACTTTAGCTGAACGTATTCAGAAACTTGTCATATTTTCTGCTGACGAATATGAAAGAAGGCCTTTTTATCTCATCAAAAAAATTGAATTGATCAGTCCATGTACTAGGTATGAGATCGATAAGGAGATGAAAGCTATAATACATTTCAAGAAAGACATGTATGTATGTATGTATGTATGTTACTAGTCTCTTTCAAGTGTTACAACATAGGAATAATAGCTTCTTCCTTTTGTGTTCAATTCTCTCAAGGTAAATACTGAAGAAAGAAGGACAAATATCAACAAATAAGAAAGAGATGACGCACACTTGACTCCAACTACATAGAAATACATAATCCTTTTTCCCTAATTCAGCCAAAACATGTGAAATTCAACCTCAGGAACTATATTGGTTGGTTGGCATAAATTACATGTTATATGAACATAAAGCAATCAATCAATCAATCAAAAATGGCAGATGAGTAAACATTGAAGAAAATAAAAGACGAGAGAGAATTACTTTTCCTGAACCAAGAACAAACTCAAAAGGAACCAACAGGTTCTCCATTTTCATCTTTATGATCATAAGTGGAATCGAAGCGCCATCCTTGCTTTGCAGCCAATCTTCCATAGTAATGTATTATAACCTTTGTTTACCCACCCCAAAAAGCAACAAACATCAAATTACTTTAATTGCAAAGAACAGATTATTAAAAAACAAGTAACGAGGTAGTTGAATAAACCTTGTCGCCGATTCGAAGCTCCAAGGCTTTGACACCACCAGAATTTGGGAGATCAACAAAATCTGAAACAGCCCAACTGCAAATTGAACTGCTGCTACCAAAATTTGATAATCCGATTCCGGTGATTGCAAAGAGCGACAGAGCTCTTCTACTACTTGCTGCAGAGAAGATTTTAGTGGACGGAAGAGATGGGTGGGTAGGGAAATGCAAATTATATGCGTTGCATTGCAATTGAAGCGCCATAATCATGGAAAAACTAGATAACACAGTCACAGTCTCACATATACGGCCATTTACGGCTATTTCATTTCTAAAAATTCATATTGGGCCTGAGGCAACATTGTTTGTACATGCGGCCTTTAAGTATGGCTTATTTCCAATGTTCTTAAAACCGGACCGGACCGGACCGGCCGAGGTCCGACCGGTTCAAACGGGAACTGGAAGCCAGTCCGGTCCGGTTAAGCATGAAAACTCGGATGCTCCAAAAAACCGGTCGGAAGGCGAAAGACCTGTTAATATATATATATATACTTTGTATATTGATAAATGTAGGTGTAATTTTAGTTTCATGTTATATAGAAGTTGTTATTATTAAATAGCACTTCTTGATTAGTTAAAACACGTTTTTACATATTGGATATAAATATCCAATCCCTTCACATTGTAACGGTAACTTTTTCACAATTCTGTTAGACGAATGAAGTCTTCTTCTTCCCCGTATCTTCTTCTCTCTATCTTCTTCTTCTTCCTCCATACTGGTAATCAGTAGGTTTACATGGTATCAGATTAGTAATTTGATTTTTCGCTTCCGCACATTCTTCAATTGATCAGATCGCGATCAATTTCTTCAATTGTTTCTCAATTCGACACTTTACGAGTTCTGATTTCTCATATCCATGGCGGCAAATCGACGAGTTGATGATGTTTCCAGTCCGTTCTATTTACATCCGTCCGATGGTCCTGGGTTAGTTCTCGTTTCGCAGCTACTCTCTGAAGATAACTTTGCCTCTTGGAGTAGAGCGATGCAGATTTCGCTTACGGTGAAGAACAAGTTAGGGTTCATCAATGGTACGATCACTGAACCGAGTCGAGACGAAGCTGTTCTTCACAATGCCTGGGTACGAAATAACAGCATTGTTATTTCGTGGATTTTGAATGCTGTGTCAAAAGATATTCAGGCCAGCATCATGTACTCTGATTCTGCTCACGAGATGTGGAAGGATCTCAATACCAGATTTTCACAAACAAATGGTCCGCGAATTTTCCAATTACGTCGGGAATTGTCTAATCTGACTCAAGATACACAATCCGTTAATGTGTATTTTACGAAATTGAAGGCTATTTGGGATGAATTATCCAATTTTCGACCCTCTTGCACATGTGGAGCTTGCACTTGTGGTGGTGTTCAGAAGCTTAATGAACATTACAATTTAGAACATGTAATGGCTTTTCTCATGGGGTTAAATGAGTCTCTTACTTCCACACGTGGCCAAATTCTTCTCATGGATCCATTGCCGCCTATAAACAAGGTTTTTGCTCTTGTATCTCAAGAAGAGAGGCAGAGGTCTATTCATTCTTCCCATAATGAAGTGCAGAATTCCTTAGCCTTTTCAATTCGTGGTGATCAATCCGTTCAGCGGTCTGTTCACAATCAAGTTTACACATCTGCACCTAAAAGAAAGGAAAGAGGATTTTGCACTCATTGCAACATCTATGGGCATACGATTGATAAATGCTACAAGCTACATGGATATCCCCCTGGTTATAAAGCAAAACCAAGATACTCTTCGTTGCCTCAAAGCAGATTTTCTGTTAATCAGGTTGCTGCCATGGAGTCTCCACTCGATTATGCAACTTCAGGGAGTACTTCTCAACCACCTTTTGTTTCTTCTGACCCTGTTTTGGCTAACATGTCTGCTGCTCAATGTCAGCAATTGATGGCATATTTTTCTAACCAAATGGCTGCCAAGAAACAGGTTTCTACTCAACAATCTCATGGTGATGAGGCTGAAGTTGCACATATTTCTTGTGTGTCAGGTATTTGTTTAGCAGCTTCTCTTCATGAATCTTTTCAGCCTCATTATTGGATCATTGACTCTGGGGCTTCTCGACATATATGTAATGATAAGACTTTATTTTCTTCTCTTCATAAAGTCAATTTTGCTAGAGTTATTTTACCAGATTGTTCTCTGGTTGTTGTTGAGTATATGGGAGATGTGTGCTTATCAGATGATCTGATTTTGAAAAATGTTTTTTATGTTCCTTCTTTTAAGTTCAACTTAATATCTGTCAGTGCTTTGCTTGACAGATTGCCTCACACAGTTATTTTTGATTCTACTTCCTTTCTTATTCAGGACAAGTTCTTGAAGAAGATTGGCAAGGGTAGCAAAATTGATGGTTTATATGTTCTTTAGCCTCACAATGTTTTTACTGATATTTTTTGTAATAAAGTTTCTGCCACTGTTTGGCACAATAGACTTGGGCATATTCCTCAGTTGAAGTTAGATATTCTGTCTACTAAATTTTCTTTAGCCATGGATAAGCCTAAGAACAATTCTTGTTGTTATATTTGTCCTATGGCTAAACAAAAACGTTTGAAATTTCCTATTAGTTCTACTGTTTCTTCTCATATGTTTGATCTTATTCACTGTGATATTTGGGGGCCTTACAGAGTTGAGTCTCACAATGGTTACAAATATTTTGTTACTCTTGTTGATGATTATTCTAGGTTTACTTGGGTTCATTTGCTAAAGTCTAAATCTGATGTTTTGACTGCTATTCCTGCTTTCTTTCATATGGTTAAAACTCAGTTTAACTGTAATATTAAGATGTTTAGGTCTGATAATGCTCATGAGTTACAATTCACTCAGCTTTTCTCTCAGTTAGGTGTTCTTCATCAGTTTTCTTGTGTTTACACACCTCAACAGAATGCTGTAGTGGAGAGAAAACACCAGCACATTCTTAATGTTGCAAGATCTTTATTGTTTCAGTCTCATATGCCTATCACCTTTTGGAATGAATGTATTTCTACTGCAGTTTTCTTGATAAATAGAACTCCTGCAGCTAAGCTAAATAATCTCTCCCCTTTTGAATTATTGTATCCTGGTAAGTTGTTTGATTATAATTCTCTCAAGGTTTTTGGGTGTTTGGTTTTTGCTTCTTCATTGCCAGCCCAGAGGTCAAAGTTTTAGCCTAGGGCCAAACCTTGTGTGTTCTTGGGTTATCCAGTTGGCATCAAAGGTTATAAGTTGTATGATTTACAGTCTCATCAAGTAATTATTTCTAGGGATGTTGTTTTTCATGAACACATTTTTCCTTTTGGTGATCAAGATATGAATTTTGATAAGTATTCAGCTGCAGATTATTCTGTTCCACCATCTGTTGTCCCTATTTCTACTGAGTCTGATGTTATTACTGATTATCCTTCTAGTTCTGTTCCTCCACAGGTCACTGGTTCAGTTCCAGTACCTCCTCAGACTAGGAAGTCTTCCAGGAACACTAAGGCTCCTGCCTATTTAGCTGATTTTAAGTGCAACTCTATTATTGGTTCCACTTCTCTTTATCCTATTTCTAATCAGGTTGCTTACCATAAGCTGTCTGCAGGTCATTTTGATTATGTCATGAATGTTTCAGCTGATACTGAGCCTTCCACTTATAAACAAGCTGTGAAGAATCCTTTATGGGTTCAAGCCATGGATGCTGAGCTTCAAGCTTTGGAAGATAATCATACTTGGACCATAGAGCCATTGCCAGCACACAAACACACTGTAAGTTGTAAGTGGGTGTATAAGATTAAAAGAAAGCAAGATGGCTCAGTAGACAGATATAAGGCCAGATTAGTTGCTAGAGGCTTCACTCAACAAGAAGGGATAGATTTTATTGATACTTTTTCCCCTGTTGCCAAGTTAGTCACAGTAAAGATTCTTTTGGCTTTAGCTGCTATTCATAATTGGGAGCTTCATCAATTAGATGTTAACAATGCTTTTTTGAATGGTGATCTTAAGGAAGAAGTTTTTATGGATATTCCTCCAGGATATAAGCATTCCTCTACTGCTTTGTCTAATTCTAGATTAGTTTGCAAATTGCACAAGTCCTTGTATGGTTTGAAACAGGCTTCAAGACAATGGAATCAAAAGTTCACTGAGGCAGTAACTTCAATTGGTTTTTCTCAGTCTCCTTCTGATCATTCTTTATTCACTAGAGGTTCATCTTCTCAGTTTATTGCTTTAATTGTCTATGTGGATGATATGATTATTGCAGGGCCTTCTCCAACAGAGATACAACAGGTTAAAAATCAGTTGCACTCCTTTTTCAAGCTTAAGGATTTGGGAAAGCTCAATTTTTTTCTTGGTATTGAGATAGCTAGGAATTCCACTGGCATTGTTCTTTCTCAAAGGCAATATGTTCTCAAATTGTTAGATGATGCTAGTTATTTGGGCTGTAAGCCAGCTTTGCTGCCCATGGATCCCAAGGCTAACCTCAATAATGAAGAAGGGGCTCTCCTTGAGGATGGTTCTGAGTATAGAAGGTTGATTGGTAGGCTGCTTTATCTCACCATTACTAGGCCAGATATTACTTATGCTGTGCATAAGCTCAGCCAATATGTTTCCAAGCCTAGAGTGCCTCATCTTCATGCCATTCATCATATCCTTAGATATCTCAAGTCTTCTCCTGGTAAGGGCATTTTTTACTCTTCCAAATCCTCTCTCACTGTTAAAGCTTTTTCAGATGCAGATTGGGGCTCATGTCCAGATACTAGGAAGTCCACCACAGGGTTTTGTGTTTTCATTGGGGATTCCCTCATTTCTTGGAAGGCAAAGAAACAAGCTACTGTTTCCAAAAGTTCTGCAGAAGCTGAGTACAGGGCTCTCTCTATGACTTCCAGTGAGATCATCTGGATTATTCAGATTCTTCAAGACTTCAACATGCCTATTCAGTCTTCTCTCTTGTTCTGTGACAATCTTGCTGCTGTGCATATTGCTTCCAATCCCACATTTCATGAAAGGACCAAGCACATCGAAATTGACTGTCATTTTGTGAGACAAAGAGTTGTGTCTGGACTTCTCAAACTCATGCCAGTTTCCAGTAAAGATCAACTAGCCGATTTGTTCACTAAGGCTCTTCCTTCTCCGGGTTTCAATCATCTTCTAGCCAAGATGGAAGTTAAGGATGTCTACTCTCCATCTTGAGGGGGGGGGGGGTGTTAATATATATATATACTTTGTATATTGATAAATGTAGGTGTAATTTTACTTTCATGTTATATAGAAGTTGTTATTATTAAATAGCACTTCTTGATTAGTTAAAACACGTTTTTACATATTGGATATAAATATCCAATCCCTTCACATTGTAACGGTAACTTTTTCACAATTCTGTTAGACGAATGAAGTCTTCTTCTTCCCCGTATCTTCTTCTCTCTATCTTCTTCTTCTTCCTCCATACTGGTAATCAGTAGGTTTACAAGACCTGGAAAACCGTCGGTACCGGAATATCCCGAACCGGAAAAAACCGGGTTTCGTCACTAACTGAAATTTTAAGACAATTAATTTATAGATCTGACTGAGTTTAAAAAAAAAATGTATATAGATCTGATTAGCAAGATGATAGAGGAAGAAGAAAAAGAGAAAAGTCAGTCAAGTTTGCCGCTGAAATAGACGAAGGGCTGTTGCTCCGATCTGGATATAAGTTCTACAATGGTGGAAGAAAGAAGAAGACGAGATGGAGGAGGAAAAGAAAAAGAATTTGGCGTGGGGCAGGTGGCTGGGGTGCTTTGGAGTTTGTGATGTTTATGTGTTAAGAAAGAGAGAGAGGAATTAATGATATATGAAAAGAAAAAAAAACAGAATATAGGTATAAATAAAAACTATTTAAATATATTAATAAATTTAGTTAATTAAATTATTTCTTTTTTGTAGATGTTCAATAAATTAATTCAAAATTAGCTTAATATTATTGTATTGAATTTTTATGACGAATAAATTTATTAAATTATATTTTTTAAAAGATAATAATATTATAATTATTCACAAATAATTAAAAATAAAAAATATTCAAAAACCCGGTTGGACCCCGGTTGAACCGGTTCGACCGTGACCCAGTTGACTAGCCGGTTCAATGTCCGGTCCGGTTTTAAAAACATTGATAAATGCACTTTTTAATTCTATTTTTGAGATAACCCCTTCTATACCAAAATAGTTAAATTACCCATTGATGTTCTGCAGGATTGAAATTCACTACAAATTTAGCGACTATCTTTTATATGTCCTTCTATATTATAATTTATGTTTACAAATGGAAGCCAAAGTTTCCATGTGTTAATAAATTAATAATATTATTGTGCCAAAAATACTCTTAAGTCAAATCAAATCAAATCAAAATTCCAAAATATATTTCTATTAAAACAAATTTCCAAATATCCCTCCTCCAAATATTAACTAAAAAATTAAATTAATTTGTACAAAAAAAAACTATTTATTTTACAAACTCATACTCTAAAAACGTCATGGTCGCTGCACCACCTCTAGGGATGGCAATTTGATCCAGCCAAAATTTTCGGGTATTACCCGCCCGAAAAAAAATAGGACGGGTATGGGGATTGAATTTTTTTTTACCAGGTACGAGGACAAGTTTGCCTATACCCGCCCCATAGACCCGCCCGTACCCGTCCCGCATTTATATATATATATATATATATATATATATATATATATATATATATATATATATATATATATATATATATACACACGTTATATTAAATATAAATAATTAAATAGTAGTAATATATTAAATATTAACTATAAATGGGGATTTTTCAGGTTTCGATTATATAATTAAATATTGGTATTATGATTAAATATTGATTTATTTGTTGAAACAAACCTTTAAATTATAAGTAGATTGCATATTTATTTATTAAAAAAAAAAGGAAAAAAATAGACGGGAATTTTTACCCGCCCCGATACCCGTGGGGATATTATGGGGCGGGTATTGAGATTCTTTTTATAGTGTTCGGGGATTTTGATGGGGATGGGATGGGGATTTCCATAGCGGGGTGGGGATGGGGATTGCAAAACCCGACCCATACCCGCCCCATTGCCATCCCTAACCACCCCTGTGACTCCGTGAACTGCGACGCTTATGACTCTGTGAACTGCGAATAGCAAATTGAAAATTAGAATTTGTATTATTGAATTGCAAACGACAAAATACCTATGACTTCGCCAAATGCAAACAACAAACTGAAAAAGAAATTCCAGAATTTGCATTATGGAATTGCAAACAAAAACTACCTATAACTTCACAAAATGCAAACAACAAACTGTAAAAACAATCATCAGAACTTGCATTATTGAATTGCAAGCAATAAACTACCTTTGACTTCGCCGAATGCAAACATCAAACTGAGAAAAAATTCAACATCATTAAAAATATCAATAAAAAAAGTGTTTATGGAACACGTTGCAAACACCAAATCATTAAACAAAGTATTTGTAAAAATGTAACTTAAGACATACCTTATGAATTGTAAACTAGAGGAATCGAATTTCAACATCGAACGCAATTCTTCAAACAACAAACGAAGTTAAATAAACCTGCAAACGAAAATTACTAACAACAAACGATGGGAAGGTTCTACATACGGAAGGCACAATGCGAATTTTTGCTGGAGTTTTGGATTTCTGAATTTGTTTTGGGAGAGGGAAGGGGATATTTGTTGTCCTCTTTAATTATTTCACCAACAAATCATCTCATAATATAAAAAGATCCATTTCCTTCTCACTAATATTTCTTCATAAGAAAATAAATAAAAAAAAACCGGAGAAGCACGAGAGAGAGAGAAGCGTGAGATACAGAGGGAGAGAAAGAGATGAGGGATTAAATATAGGGTGAGAGAAACATGACATTGGAGAGAGAGGGGGAGTGATATATGAGATTTGTTTTCTTATTAATTGAGGGTGTTTACGTCTATATACTAATTTTTTATTTATTTATATATTTTTTTTGGTAAAAGGACCTATGCTTGTATTCATTTAGCAACTAGGATCTCCACCTATATAAGGCTAAAATAAGGGGTGTCTAGTAAATTCCCCCACAAATCTATTGAAATCCACCATGTAATACCAAATTGTAATCCACTATATAATTAACGTAATATGTAATAAAATTAAAATAATTCGCACAAAAT